AAACGGGATAAGTATGCCCCGGGTGAGGCTGTGTTAGCTGGAGACTGAGACCACAACGTACTGGAGTGGAGCTGTGAGACAGCTCCGCGCCAGTTTCCTGCACCGAGCCAAACAGGTGCGATGTAATCCTGTGTCTGCCACCTACTAGCTGTATGAATATGGGTGATGTGCTCACCTCGCTAAGCCTCAGTTTCCTTATCTGTAAAAGTGAGTTATAACAGAAGCCTGATGTGCTTGTTACCAGGATTTAGTGAGATGAGGCCTGTAAGCCCCTTAGCAAAAGGCACAGCTCACAAGCAATAGTGACACCAGGTCTGTTATCTTTGCCTCAGTGAGCTTAGAGAGCCTCTAAGAAGTAAGGCTCTTTGCTGCCCTCTGGTGGTAAGATGTAGTGTGGCAGCCTGGTGGAGGAAGCTGGGAGATGTTACTTTTTTCTTTTTCTTTTGGTGGAACTGGGGATTGGACTCAGGCCCTTGAGCTTGCAACGGAAGCACTTATTCTTCTGAGCTATCTCCCCAGCCCGAGATGTTACTTTGAAAGCAAGAAAATTCCTTTTGGATTTTACTGCTTTCCATGACCTCCAAGAAAATCCATTCAACTTAAAGCAGGGAGAGAGAGAAAAACTCTAGTGGGCCCAAAAGCAGCATGATGTCTTCCTTGCAGAGAGAGAGGGTGATCAGGAGAGGCTTCGGTTGGCTTCTTGGCTGTGAGGCAAGGTGGCTGGGGCCCTGGATGGAGACGATGGCCAGGGAGGTGGAGGCAGCTGGGTGAGAGGGCGTGGGCTGCGCCTCTGCCCCTGGCTGTTTGCCTCGGGCATCGCTGGCCTTCCTGGGCTTTCTCTGGGTCTCTCCGGGGTTCTCAGGCTTGCAGGTCACCGCAGCGTCTGCCTTGCCTGCCGGTCTCATCAGCACAGCACCTCACAGAACAACCAGCGTGTCTCTGCCATTTGATAAAACTTGGGATCTGCTCTGGGGCGCCTCAGGAGTCGCAGAGGTCTTGTCAGGGGTCTCTGCCTCTGAATCTGGGAGAAGGAGCCTGCTGTGTCTTGCCTGGCACAGTGCTTGGAACAATACTGAATTTCACGCAGTGGCTTTGCCTCCCTGTACACTGTGAGTTTCTTCCCCTGAGGACAGGGGACCATAGCTGGCCAAACTTCTGTTCCCAGGGCGCTCAGCAAACACTCGTGCACTTAGTAGCTCCATGAATAAATGAAACCGTGTTCTCAGGGAGCACTTAAGACCTTGCTATCAATAATCAGTTGTACCTGAGTACAGTAGCTGTCCTTTATCTATGTTTTTAACATTCTACAGTTTCAGGTACTGTGGCCATTTTCAGTCCAAGAATATGGAATGGAAAGTTCTAGAAATAAACGACGAGTAGGTTCTAGGTGGAAGGCTTTTTCAGTACCATGATGAGATCTCACAGCTTCCCTCCTCAGTCCATCCGAGACACTCAGCATCCCTCTGTCCAGCGGGTCCAGACTGTATCTGCTACCCCACTGCTGCTCCGTAGCCACCTCAGGTGTCATGGCGCTTGTGCTTGTGCGGTCCTTATTTTACTTAATAGTGGCCCCCAAACATAAGACTAGTGATGTTGGCAATTATTATATGGCAAAGAGACGGGAAAATAGTATGTTGAGATCGCTAAGCTCTCTAGGACATTGTTATTGGTATACTACTGTGCCTGGCTTATCAATTAAACTTTATCATAGTATACAAGTAGAGGAAAGACCGTATACGTAGGATCATATACATTGGCATTGTCCATGGCTTCAGATGAGGGAGACCACTGTACCGCAGAAGTAAGGCCATAGTTTCTGGGAGGTGTTTACAAAGAAGTACAAGACAGACCATGGCCTCTAAGAACACATCTTGTGAGATGTCCAAGTTCAAATAAATTTGTGAAATAGTACTGCAAGTCATGTGATTGCTCAGGGCCAGATGAACTGTCCAGGTGGGCCTTAGCGCTGGTACTGAAAGCAGGCCATCATCCTGGGGCTGTGACAGATGAGTGGCACAGCACCCGTCTGGGCAGGGCACTGCACTTGGCTTAATTCCTTGTTATTGTCACCTTGAAATGCTTAATTTTTCTTTCTTTCTGGTTTAAAATATATATATATACATATATATATATATATATATATATATATATATATATATTTTAGCTGAGGATTCAGGCCCTTGCTCCTGCCAGGCAAGTGCTTGTTCAACTGAACTATCTCCCCAGCCCCTAAAGAATTTTGAAAATTGACCCATAATCATGACATATTTCTGTGGTGCAATGTAGTAGTTCATTCTATGTATAGGACATGCAGCCATCAAATTGGGGTGCTTGGCATACCCCATGCCTCAAACATGTGTCATTTCTTTGTGTTGGAAACATGCACAATCTTTTCTTTTAGCTATTTAAATATATGACAAATTATTATTACCTATAGGTTTTAGTGTCTGAACTGTGGTCCTGCATCTTCTCCCCCCTCCCCCTTTTTGAGATGGGTTTTGCTGTGCAGTTGTGGCTGGCCTTCACCTCAGTGTCTGGAGTCCTGGCATTATAGGCATGCGCCACCACACCTGACCCCATGCAGACTCTCTTTTGCGTGGATCCTTGCATAGCCAGACCTGACCTGAGCTCTGTGACCAGGAGAAGCTCTATGGTGGTGGTAGGCCTCCGGGGCTGTTTGGCTAAAGTGGAAAAGGTGAGCTGCAAAGCCGGGCTGAGCTCGAGGACGTGGCCATCCTGGTGGCGGCAGCAAGTACCTGCTCAGGACATGCTTGGGGTGTCAGGGACTGGACATAGGTAACCTAACTTGAGCCCTCTTATAAAGTGGGATCCCCAGATGAAGCTGCGCTTAGGCTGTGCTGCTCTGTGGGCAGAGGAGCCTGTGAGAGCCGTGACGGCAGGGCCTGCATGCAAAGGCTGCCTGGCCTCACTCGCTACCCTGGAATTATTCTCCTTCCTGAAATGTGCTGCGTGAACACCTCCCGGGTCTGCTGGGAAGCCCAGAGGAGAACCCCGAGAAATGGCTCTGTGGCCACGGCACAGAGGCTTCCTCACCGAGCCTCCCACATCCCTGGCATCGGGGGCTCCTCATTGGGGATTTGGTGAAGTCTTGGAACTCAGGGCCTGTCCTCAGCGGTGCATGGAGCAGCTGTGTGCTGGAGGAAGGAGTCCAAGGCCTCCAGGGAAGCGGCGCGCTCCACAGATCTCTACTCCCTCTGCTCACAGACAGATGGGGCTTGCATTCCAAGCTTCCTCTACTTACCTAAACCAAGGGCTTTATGGGGTGTGTGTGGGGGGAGGGTGCTGCAGCACAGCGCTGTGGAGTGTGAAGTACCGGCATGGTGGCTGGCCCCTGTCAGGGGGTGCTGATACACTTGTGGATGGTGCAGAGGGGTACTTGAGAGGTCAGAGAAGAGGGGCACCAGTCAGGCCAGCAGGGCTAGGCCAGTGTTGCCCAGCACTAGAAAGACAGGCAGCCAGGGAGCACCCAGCAAGGGCAGAGAGGGCCAAGTGGGTGGAGTGTTTAGGGTGAGCAGAAGAGTGGAGGTGAGACCTCTTGACCAGAGGCCCTGAGGAGCATGTGCACCCTGTGCACACACCATCTTGCCAGCAAAAGAAGGGGCCTTTGAGCTGCACACACTGTAACCCAAGTTACCCAGACAGGTGAGACAGGAGGACTGCAAATTCAAGGCCAGCTGGACAATTCAATGAGATCCTAGCTATAAATAAAATTTTAAAAGGGCTAGGGATATAGCTCAGCATGCCCTGGGAGCAGTCCTCAGTGACTCAGAAAAGTGAAAGCGAAAGGGTAGGGGAGAGAAGGGGGCTTGCAGTGAAGGTGGCAGAGATTTTATGCAGATTGCCTGCCACTTGCCTCTATCCCGAAGGCCCTATTTGGGCTCTAGACCCAAGCAGCATTCAGAGCTTCTGGGAGAAGGGGCCTGGTATCAGCCGCCCCTACCCTGCTATGTGCTGTCTACCCAGGACTCTCCGATCGGGGTCTGTGTGTTGCTCTCTGGCTTACCTGTGCAGTCCTTCTTCATTCTCTATACTGAAGGGAAAAGTCACAGTCTCCATCCTAGTGTGGCCTCAGCCCATGTCCCTACCTCCCCCACACCTTGCAGAAGAAAGGCTGCAAGCCCAGCTGTTGGAGAGAATGGCACACAATAAGGGTCCTCTGTGACACTGGGCCACTTCCTTCACCTCTCTGGCCCTCAGTGTCCTTAGAAATGTAGTGGTGGAGTTGGCAGGGAGAAAGGAGAGTATGACAAAGGGCCTACAGGGGACCCTGCTGTGTCCTTGTAAGTGTAAGCAGGGTCAGGAAACATGCTGCAGAGGAGGGGCTACAACTGGTGGCTTCTGGCTCTGGGTCTAGAGACAGGTCACCTAGAGAGCCCCATGGACCATCTCAGGGCCTGCCTGATGTAGGATGAAGGTGAGACCCAGGCCATGGATAGTCCCTGCAAAGTGCAAAGCAGCCTAGTCCTGACTATTAATGTAGCTCTCATTTATGAGGCTTGCCATGGCCCAGTGCCCTCAGTGCTTTCTGAGCTCTGCGCATCCCCAGAAGTGCTATCAGGTGTTCAGTGTTGTCCTGCCATCCTGGGGGAGCAGAAACAGTCAGCATCCCCCACCTGTGGCTCCCAGACAGCCTGGCTTCAGAGTGCCACAGCCTCTTGCTGGGCACTTCCCGCCTCTGCCTGGAACCTCCCAGACCCCAGGGCATCTTGGCCGGGCCTGTCTGTGTGAGTCCCAGTCTTGTGTGCCTCCACCTGCCCCTCTGACCAACCACCACATGTGTGAGAAGCATTGACTTCCAGGCCTGGGTCCTGTCCTTGGGTTATGACAGCAACTCCACGTATGCCACAGTGGTCACAGTGTCTTCAGGCATGTGGGAAATAACCCTTCCCTCCTAATAAACTTGTCGGTTTATTCAGGACACAGTAAACATTTTAATGACACCCAAACAACAGAAAGGAAACAAGATCAGGAGTCTAGAATGTTGGTACATTTCAAATATATTTTATTACTTTTCTGTTTGTCTTAGAAAGAATATGAAATCTGCATGCAATGCTAATGATCTCTGACATTTACATAGCGTATGACACAGCAGGACAGTGCGGCCTCTACAGAGGGGCAGCCTGTGGGGGGCGCCCTGCAGAAGGTATGTACAAAGCAAAGGGCGCTCGAAATCCCAACTTCTAAACCTGGACACCCTGCGCCCCGTGAGCTGCACGGGAGTCACAAGTGTACCGCTGCTATAGTACTGCGTGTCCCACTGTGTGGAGAGAGAGGAACACACACTGAAGACTTCCTCTTGTCAACAGATTGTGTGTCTCCAGTTGCGTGTTGTGTTTGTGGTTTAAAATTTTTTTCTAAGGTTTTTTCACTAATAGTGGTAGGAACTTTACATGCTTCTGAAGCATCACCGAGTGAAGCAGCAAACCTTTCAGAATTCCTCAGGATGGAAAAAAGACCCAGGGCCTTCTTTCGGGGTCACTTGCTTCACCCCCCACAGGATCTTGGAAATGTTTCCTACACTGAAAAAATGAACCAGAGGAATGAAGCACATTTCTCTGGCAACTAAACTGAGTTCCTCCAAGCACAGATGCAGAGAGACCTGCTCCTGCTTGCCTGGCGACAGGGGCCACTGCGGAGTCACACTGAGGCTGGGACCAGCGTAAGCCCAGGAGAGCCTGGCAGCTGTGCAGAAGGCGCCAGGCCCTCTGGGCAGAAGCTTCCCAGGCTCAGGTCAGAGCAGCACCGCAATGAAATGTCTCAGCCAAGCTCACGGCTCCTCCCGGGCGCTTATAAAGCTCAGATGTGTATCGATGGATGGACAAATACAAAAAAGCATTTTCTTAAAAAAGGAAAGGCATGAGTCTCCCCAATTCAGCAAAGAGCCGCCTGTTGATGTCTGGAGCGCAAGAGAGCTGGGTCTCACATCTGGAAGCCTTTTGCACACAGCTATAAAATGTAAAAACTGATCCTGGGTAAAAAGTGCTTCATAACAATATATAATTTGTGTCTGATGCCTGTGAGAAAGAAAGGGTTTTTTTATTTAACCAGAAAAGTCCTTTGCTCAAGTCTTGAAACTGGTCTGGAGTGTTCTATCAGAGATTTCCCCCCTATTCTTCGTAGACCCTGCGAAGAGAAAGCACAGGTGTTAGCGCTCAGGACTGATGCGGGCTGCTCTGAGCTGCTTGCTGTGTGATGTCATTCAGTCCTCAGGGTGCGGACTTTGGCTGGGAGAGTGGGAGCGACATCTCTGGGACATAACTGTGATCACAGGGGCCACAGAACTCATGTCTGGCTTTGCCCTTTCCAATCAGCTTTTGCCTCTCCTGGCTCATCTGTTCCTCAAGGCCATATGGAGCAAATCCTCTTGTATGTGGGGAAACTGAGGCCTAAGTGACCTAAGATGTGCCTGGTGAGCCTGGATGGTTAGGAGGGATGGAGCCCTGCCTAGCATGGTGTCATTTTTCCTTCCATTTATCTGCACAGAGCGCCTCCTGTTAGAGAGAATAGCCCATGATGGCTAAGCTCTCTCCAGACTTGGGCTTGTCTTCCTGAAATATGCCAGTTCTAGAAGCCTGAGGACTGCGGCGGGGCTGGCAAAAGCTTGGGCTCCACCACAGGGGTCTGTGTCCCCAGCCAGCCACCTCCTCCTGGTGGCTCTGCCTCACACCCACTACTTCTCAGGCATCACCAGTCACCTTGTCCCTCACCTGCCAAGCTGGCTCCATTTAGGTATTGCAGTTTTTCCCGGTTCTGTCCCATGGCTGCCCCGAGCCCATACTTAACTCTCTAACAGCCCAACATTCCCTGCCTTGCTCTTGATTTTTAAGACCTCCAGATTATTGGTGGAAGCAGAAAGATGTGGCTGCTTCCTGTGGCGGCCAGGAGCTCTGCTCTCTGAGATGTGCTGAACTCCCTTGTCTAACCTCACAGGCCTGACCCAGTCCCCCCCACCCCAGAGGACTCCTAACACTTCCTTTATCTCCACTGGACATTCAGAGACCTTTTTATCCCTTTGCAGGGCTGAGGTAGGGAGAGCAGGGACACACTCCTTTCTCTCAGCACCCAAGCAAGGAGGATGAACTCCTGATGGGATGAAGTGAGGGCCGATCTGTTTGGTGACCAGAGGTTCTCATGCTTTCAGCAGTGCAATCTACAGAAGCAGAGAAGCCAAGTTGGGCTGCATTCAGATGCCGGGGTGCCTCCTTGCGTTCTGAGCTGCACTGCAGGTGCGGGGAGAGCGAGTAGCAAGGTGGGTGGGCACAGGCCTGAGTGTCTTCAGGAGCTGAAGCAAGATGCTCTTGTCCCCTCCACTAGCTGGCTCTGGGTTAGCTCATTTTACTTTGATGATGCAGGGCTTAGAGGGTGGCAGAGAGCAGAAGGGGCAGGTCCTGCTTTTGTCAGGTGAGCTCTCTGTCCCAACTGGAAAGAGGGCATCTGTCACTCCTGTCCTCGGACATACAGAAATAGTCTCTCATCCTCATCACTTTCTATATCAGGCTTCTGCAAACAAGGCAGTTTTGAAAGCAGCAAAAACAGGCTCGGGTGCAGGAGCTGTGGGAAATCTGGTCACAGGACTGAGCTGAAGGGGTGGCGCTTGGCCAGGTGGTGGGAAGGGCAGCCCAGGTACCCACTGTGGCTGATCCCCTCCCCTGGGGGCCTGGCTTCCTGCCCTGGCTTTGTCCTGTGCTCCCAGGGAATTACTGTCCTCCCAGTCTTGCCTTGGTTTCCCCCTTGTGTAGGGTGTGGTGCTCACACTGGCTCCTGGGTAAGTCTCCTGAAGGTGCTTGCTTCTCTTGCCGAGCTGTGCAGGGAAAGGTGACTGCAGGCCCTTCATGCTGCAGGAAGGGCCATTTCTAGGACAGCTCATCTCTCCATGGCCAGGGAATCAGGAAGTGACCCCTCTTCCAGGTCTGGAGCTAGAGCCCAGGGGATCAGAGATAGGACTTTCTGACTATGGGGAAACAACCCAAGGAACACTGTGATTTGGCCCAAAGTACTGGTAGTCTCAACTTTACTTTCCCAGATGAGTAAGAGTAGTGCTGGTTTAAAGGGTCAGATCCAAGGTCCCTGCTAGCACTCATATGGGAAGGAATTTATCTGCTGCCTAAGCATGACAGGGCATGCCAGACAGAATGTGTTGGTGGAGAGACTACCCTTCTCATCTTGTGGGTGCCCCCAGTTTTATGGTTAACCTAGTCAGTTAAGTGGTCACATCTCACCCTGCAAGATCCACAAGGAATAGCCAGGCCAGGGGCTCACCCACATTTGATGGCTTATGTGACTTTAAAAAACAGCAATTAAGACAATAATGTGAAAGCTACAACAGACTTTAGGGCACAGAGAGTTCTGTCTTTAGTATGTAGCCAAGAGAGCAGTAGCCTGCTTTGGTAAGTGGTGGGTTTCCATTCCTGGGGGTGGGGGTTCGTAGGCAGAGTCTGGTTATCCCCTAGCTGTGGCTATTGTGGTGGGTATGCACATACTCAGTGGGGCTGAGTGGCCTGATGTTCTGTACCCTGAGAACTGTTGCATGTTCTGGAGGAGGGTGGGAAGGAGCATGGGAGGGCGAGAGCAGTGGGCATACCTGCGCTTCTCATTCCAGGCGTTGTACCACTTGATGAAGCGCTTGGTGCTCTGCAGTTTGGGGTGCAGGCAGTGCTCCTGGCCACGGTACCTGGACATACTCTTGGTGGTGATGCTGCAATGGAGTGGGGTGGGTTCAGGTTGAAGTGTGCAGCAACAGCCCCTCGCTTGCCTCCTTCCCCCTCCCTCCCTTCTTCCTCCCTCCCTAACCCCAAGGCAGCCCATCCCTCCCTGGCTAGCTCTGTGGAAGGGTCTGCTATCCCCTAACCTGACTCAATCCTAAGTCTTAACCCTCTCTAGAGAGTGCCTTACCTTTTCCTCTTAGAGCCATCAGCATCTGGGACTGTGTCCCCCAGGCCTACTGCACCCCTAGTACTGTTTCCAGGGCTTAGGGCTCTTAGGGAATTCTTCTGGAGATCAAGAGGTGTGTATGTCAAGGGCTTTGCCCTTGTATTTAGAAGCTTACCATAGGGGTGAGATGTACCTGCACACCCTGAACCCTCAACCTTAGTTCCCCCTACCTGCCATAGATTGTTCCAGGGTGGAACATTTGCTGATCTTGAAGCAAAATCTTGGCCTTGAAGGCTGTTTTGATGTTTGAGTGTAAAGTCCTAGTTATCTCGTTTGGGCAGAGAAATAAGACCTCCCTTTCTTGTGCTCAAAGATCTCAGGCATCCATCAGCCTCTTCCAATACTGGGTAGATTCTTAGATATATAGAGGGTAGACATGATGACCTTGTACAGAGGCAGGGGCCTGGGTTTGAGCCCCATGTTTGGCTGGGACCTTGGCTAACCTCTTTGAATCTGCCTGCCCATCTGTAAAATAGGTACAATGATAAAACCTACTTCATAGGGTTATTGGGTTGATTAAAAGATGCAATCCATGTAAAGTACTTAGCTTGGTAGAGACCAGGTGAATGGTTATTGCTATTAGTCATTGATCATGGGGGATGAGACAGCTGAGGAGAATGATAAGCCTTAGTGTGTGAGCTCTAGCCTGGAGGGGAGGTGAATGGGTGCCCAGTGCTGCTGCTGTCTTCATCTAGTGTTGGCCGGAAGGATGGTGGGGAGGTAGGAGGAGAATGGAATTCAAGAATGAGGGACCACCTAGCACAGGTGGAAAGGGCCAAGTTAGAGGTGAAGATGGTGTCTCCTGAGGTTCATAGAAGAATAGGTGGAGGGGAAGGACTGGGAGGCGAGGCACAGGTCAGCTGGTCCCCCACAGGCTGCCAAAGATGAAATGTCAGGGCTCATGGGTCAAGTTTTAGAGGGGGGCTGGGTTGCTGTGACAGTCTCCCCACCCATGAAAAGATAAAAGGGGATCTTGCCCCCGGAATGGGGATGAAATGTTTCTGGGTGACTGGCTCTCCTCTCTGTGCTCTAAGTTTTTGGAGCCCCCACCAGAGCCAAAGCAGCCTGGGAAAGGGAGGGGTCCTCACAGCCTCACTGGAGCCCTCCTGGAGACACATGGCTCTGTCTGGGGCTGGAGTGTGGAACCAGCTTCAGAGTGGAATCTAGGTCTTGCCCTCCCCAGGAACCTGGAGACCCTCAGGAAGTGGGCATGTGGGCTTTTCTGTGGCCTTGCAATGTGGCTCTTGTACTTTGAGTGAAAGGTCATGGCAAAGTCTGGTAAAAACCCCCATATCAGGTCAGCGTGCAGGCTGAGCACCCCAAATCCTCAAGTTCAGGGCAAGCAGGAAAGCAGGCTCAGCCCTCCAACCACAGTGTTCAAATTCTGCATCACAAAATGGAGATTATGAAAAAATAATCATGGAATGTAAGGACTCACAATGTCCACAACTATCAGAAATTCTGGGTCTAGCATCCCTCTCATTTTCAGGGTGTTGAGGGTTTTGGGGAAAGCTCAGGGACCTATGACACAAATTGCCCTTTCTAGCATTTGGACTCTCCTGGGCCCTTCTGGGTGCAAGGACTCCTACTTGCAAATATTCCATTCCCACCCCCCCCACCCGCACCTCCCGGTCCCCAGCTGCAGCAGAGATGTCTGGGTGGCACAGGGCGAGCTGGAAAACCTGTTTTTGTCCAGCTTTGGTGGCTGAAAACCTGCTTTGGCAAACAGTGCTGGCCACTTGTCTGATCTAGAAAGTCTTAGGAACACAGGAAGGGAGAAGAGCCTCCAGCTTTGGGGGTGGGGGTGGGGGTGCTCTGAGCATGGGGGAAGGGTAGGAGAGGGTGACCTGTACCGAGGTCACGAGGCTCCTGCACATTTTCACAAGGCTGAAAGCAACCTTCTCATGTACTTGCTTAGCTATTGTTTCCCTCTATAACCAGAGATGTTTAGCCAGGAGAAGTGTCTGCTGAGGGATTCTGTCCTTTTGAGGTGTCACTGCACCCCATATCCTGCTTTTGTCCCCTGCACGGTCTCAGAAACAACTTTCACTGTTCCCTGCCTTTTAAATCCCCATGCTGGAAGTGCTGTGGTGCGGAAGAGCTCTGGCTCTTCCTATAGATCACTTGATTCCCAGCCCCCACCTAAGAGGGCTTGGGGGCAGTTTTTGTGGACTTGGTCTTCCAAGCTAGGGACAAAGATGGACTTAATTAAGATGCCTCAGAAGGATGAGTGTTGGGGTCTTTCTCCTTCTGGGGCTTTCCAAATATCACCCACTTCAGCCTGTCACCCCAGGTGGTAGAGGGGCATGGGAGCAGGGGCTGGAGTGGCCTGCCTGTGCAGACGCTGTGTGGAGGCTTCAGGCGGTAGGGCTGGCCGGAAAAAGGCACTTGCCCAGACTGAAAATAAAGTGTGTCCTGTTTCAGGGGCAGGGGAAGAGGGGCCAATGGTCCATGGCAAATATTTGGGAGCTGCTTTGCCAAGGGCTTGTGTCCTAGCCAAGAGTGTATTGATGGGGAAACAGTGGTGCCGGCCTCAAGTGGTTAATTGGGAAGGCAGAGGAGCAAGGAAACGCAGTGTTCTCTGCTCTGCCCCAGTTTTTAAAACATTGCTCGCATCCCCACCAGCAGGACTAAGGACTCGGGGCACATTAACCCCAGTAGAGAGCTTTCCACAGGACTGTGGGGGCTTGGGGGCCCACAAGGAGTCCAGCTGCTGAGGAAAGAGCCAAGAGTTCTCCTACTGAGATCCCTAAAAGCCCCAAACTGGCCATCTGAGGGGACAGCCCCTGATTAAACAAAGGCTCTGTCAGAAAAGGCAAGCAGGGCCTTACAGTCTGCACTACTGCTCAGGAAGGCAGCATGCCCCACAGTCTGGAGCTCAGTCTCGGGGCTCTAACTCTGTGCTCTGGATTGCCCTGGCACCCTGGGCAGCCCAAGTTGCAGACAGAGGCTGCCTGTTGGAGTCCTAGCCAGAGTGGACTCAGAGATGGTCTTCCCAGAGCCCAGGACAGTGGCCCCCTTTTGCAACTGTTGCGCTAGCGTCCTAAGGAACTCGCTGGGCAATTACAGAGCTTTGCTAAGGACTTGATAAAGGTAGAGAGAAATGTTTGTTAGCCTGACCCAAGCCCAGGCTCTGGGACACACGGGACGCCCTGGTGGTGAGGAGCAAGAACTCACATAACCATCTTCTCCTCGCAGTGCGGGTACTTTGGCTTCATTTCCAGCTTCTTCACATCGCTGTAGCGGATCTTGGGGCCCTTCCGGGAACACTTGCATTTGGACCCTGTGGGAGAGGACAAGAGGGCTGCTAAGTTGGGCTAGGGTCTTTTGTTCCACGTCGGCCTTCGGAGAGCCCCAGAACCCCTGGGTCCCAGGATGGCTAAGAGCTGGTGCCTGGGTTCCCGGGACGGAATCAGATGGTGACAAAGGGATTTCCCAGCACTCACCTTCCACACGCGAGGCGCACAGCGCCAGGAGCAGTAGAAGCAGCGCGGCCGCCAGGAGCCTCATGCTGGTCAGAGGGGTGCAGCGCAGAAACGGGGACAGGGAGACTGCCCCGAGATGGCTCGGTGTGGCGCCCCGAGGTGCAGATGACGGGTCGGATCTGTCAGCTCAGAGCGCGCCTCCTGCCTCAGCTAGCTGCCGAAGCGCTGTCGGTGGCGGTGCTGTCTGTCGCTCCGCGCAGCGCTTTGCGCACTCCTCTGTGCAATCGCTCCACAACTTCCCTCCGCCTGCCCTGGCCTCTTTTAAATCCGCTCCTGCCCTCGCAGCAAGCGAGCTCATTAATATGCAGAACCACTCGGTGACTCACTGAGATTTCTCAATGTGGTGGGGGGAGGAGACCTTCCCAGCCCGCCTGCCACCGGCCTTGGGACTGGATCGAGATCGCAGTCCTCACACTGGGAGCCACGCGCGCACCCACACACGCACATCTGCTCCCCACTCGCGCGCCTCCCTCGCTCTCCTGCGTACACTTGCACACTCAGCCCACACCCCGCACAGGCTTCCAGGGCAGCTGCTGTGCCTTGGGAGGCGGGAAGGCCGAGAGGCTGCTGAAGAGTGTTGCTGTTCTAAATCCGGTGGATCTCACCCTGGCCAGACAGGCTTATTGTTCTGAGGACCCCTCCCCTCTTCCCCCACCAAGTCAGGCAGGAGCTCAGATCCTTGGGAGAAGACCTGAAAGAATTTTGAAGCAAGTGCCAAGCGTCACTGCCAGCTGACCTGACCTCTCCACCCGCCTGTTAGACAAGCAGCGCTGGTGGCCAGAGCACTGGCCAGGCCTGCGTGGGCGTTTGCCATAGGCTCTGTGCAGCAAAGCCATTGCCCACAATCACTGAACTGACGCAGAATGCAGAGGAGGCACTCCCAGAGAAGGCTCCCTAATGTGGGTCTGTGGCCTCGTGGCTGTGTGGTCCTCTGGGCCTTGAGAGAACCTGGGTGCTCCTCACTTTCCCAAGCCAAGCAGGGCCCCATTAGGGAGATGACAGTTGTAACCATCTGGATAAAGGCCTCCTGTTCTCCAGAGATTACATGGGCTGCAGAGGGTAGTGGTGTGAGGCAGCCACGAGGCCACACATCCCCACCCCAAAGTCACTTACCAGCTCAGGTGACTTCATCCTTGCACTAGCTGTGAGGCCTAGGTAGTCACGGTGCCTGTCCTAGGGAGGCTGTGAGAAGTACATATTGTTACACATTCAAAGTACCGTAGTTAAATTGGTGTCTGATGCATAGTGTACCCAGCAAATATTACTTATTGGCATTATATATATATATATATATACATATACATATATATATTTGCATATCAGAGCATTAAAATGTCATTTCTAGATTGGTACTTTTAGTTTCTTTAACAGGTGCAGAATGAAGCTGAAGGAGAAGCAACAATGTCCCCAAAGTCACAGAGGCTAGAAATGGGTGAGTCAGGGAGGAGGGTCTCTGTATACGTGACTACAGAACGGGGACCCCTGTACAGGGTCCGGTCTGTGGCCATCATGCCTGTCCGGCTTTCACTTAGCACTGAAGTGAAACTTGGAGCTTCCTTGCGAGACCCGAGACAATGGAGCAGAGCTGCTCAGGCTGGCAAGGGGCTGAGATTGGTTCCAAGCCTGCCCAGCTCTGTGCCTTTCTGCCTGGCAGCACTCAGGGGGTACAGGGGCGGGGTGCTTCTGGGGAGAAAGGGGGGTTATCTGTGCTGTATCCTTCGAGCAGGAGCACGTTTGCTGCCACAGGCAGGAGAAGCTGATCTCTGAAGAGCAAGCTGAGCCCATGCCTGGGGTTATGTTTGTTCCTGAAGCCAGGCTGGCACCTGGATGTTTGCATTCAGCAGGAGATGAGTGCGAAGGAATGATTTTCTAAGGCATTTATGGTAATTTTCAAATTTAAAGTTCATTTTTCTTAATACTAAATAGCATATCTGTTACTTAAATAGAAGAAAGCACAAAACATGCAGTCTCTCAGAAGTCTAAACCAAGACAACAGCAGCGGCCACTTCCAGGTCCTTCCTCTTGGCTTCGTGTACGCACATGAGATTTGGCCACAGGCTGCCTAGGAACCTGCTCTTGTACTAGCCAGGGTGCCACGGGCATCCTCTGGGGCAGCCAGTTTTGCCTCTACCAATTCTCTTTTAGCGGCCTCTATTGAAGCCACGTGGTATATGTCAAGAAGATGTAGTCTGAACTTGAACTGCATGGGTGTCTTAGTGTGTGACTTTGGGCAAATAAGTCTTTGAGGCCTTCATGTTTTCATCCATGAGGTGGGTGTGATTGGTGGTTGCTCAAGCATGCGGAAATCAAATGAGACGGTACATGCCAAGCTTTGAATGCAGGCTGCAGAATATAGTAAGTATTCAGTAAGTGCTGACCATGGTTATGATGATTTCAGACACAGTGTCCCACTGGATAGACTGCCATAATTAATTTAACCAATTTCTCCTTGCCGGACATTTGGATTCTCTTTAGCAGTGCTGTGGGACATGTGTTTGGGGGTGATTTCTTAAAAACTGGATATGGTCTTAGAATTCCTGGGCTACTGGGTATGCCGCTTATAGGGTGTTTAATGTAAATTACTAAACTATCCTCCAAAAGGAATTTCTTAACCTCCAACCTCCCCCAAGTATGTGAATTATTTTTCATTAATGAAATTTTATTTTAAAATATTTGTATCAATAATCTGTTGATTCATTAAGTGGGATCCAAGAAGACCAGGGAACATGAGTGCTGAGTGCTTATTTACAACAGTAGGCCCTCAAAATAGGGACCCAAGTTCCCTGTTTCCTGGGTGAGACCAGAGGTTAGAGATGCCAGCTTTAGTCCTCAGTGTACATATGCTATTCTTTGCTTTACAAAACACATATGCTGTATCTTGGCAAACAGCTACGCCTGTTCACATGAGCTCTTCCAAAGACAGCAGTAGAGAAAAGATTGGATTACCTGCCACCAGCGGGCCCATAGATGAAGCTGCCACCACTGGGCAGAGGAGGGGGCTCACCCCTGTCATGCCTTCAGGGTGCAGACTCTACTGAGCCCAAGTGGGGACTGTGAGAGGGTGTGAAGGCAGGGTTAGCTGCGCATGTGGAGGCAGTTCTTTATACACTAGCACTGCCTGCTTTGAGGATGTCTCCAGGGTACAGTGAAGGACAGGACACATGGCCACCTCATGGAGGGTAGCTTGATGTGTGTGCATTTGTATGTGCCCACAGCCTGACACAGGTACGGCAGGGCAAGGGAAGGAAGAGGTAGAAACAGGACCCATTGAACAGGGAAGTGGAAACTGGGCTGAGCCACTGCGTTTTTGCTCATCTATTCTGTTCATACTCAGTGAGAACCTGCTGAGTGCCAGGGGCTTCGCAAGGTACTGGAAAATTCAGGTAAGCACAGGCAGGTGTATACCTGTTCTCCAGAGTAGTGAAACTGGCATCAACTCACAACTGTGGGGATAATTGTGGAAGCCTCACAGAGGTCAGTGTGACAGAGGAAGCTGGTACCCTGAGGCTCATCAGGAGATTTGACAGGACAGACTGGGGTCAGCTTCTCAGAGGAGGTGACCACTGGGTTGACCTATAAAAGGCAAGAAGGAATTAACTGGGGTAATCACATGATAGGGAGGCCCTGCCTGCTCTTTATAGCTCCTGCTCCCCATGCCAGGACCACCTGTGGAGACCCCTACTCCAGCCTTTCCCTGGTTCCTGATGTCATGCAGTGTCCAAGGCAACTCCACCGCAATGTCTATCCCTGCCTGGTTCCTGTCATCTTCTCCACTGACTGTGCTGTGCTACACAGCCTCATCTTATTCCTCAGACGCACATACTGTCCCCATCTCAGGAACTCTGTGCTTCCCAGCCCCCTGCCAGCACTGTGCTGCTCCATGTCTTTTGGAAGCCCTCTCCTCACTGAGCCTCAGTACCTGTATCCACTTTTCAGACTCAAACATTTCAGCTTCCCCCAACAGCAGTCACCCTTTAAACTGAGATTGAACCCAGGGTGTGTTCATGCCAGGCAAGAGTTCCACCACTGAGCTAAATCCCCAGCCCCAGATCTCCTTAAGTCGCCTAGGCTGGCCTTGAACTCGTGATCTTACAGCTACTGTGCCTGGCAATAGTCACTTGCTATGTCTTGATCTATTTCACCTTATTCATTTCACACACAGCCATTTCAGATTGTGCTGCTTTCACATTTATTTGGGAGTGTATTTTGGGGATTCCCTGGTCTGTGGGGTCCTCATCCCCAGTGCCTACAGTCACACATTTCCTTATCTACTGGGTAAGTAGGACATGTTTCAGGCAAAAACCCAGGCATGTAAAAGAACTGTGTTGAGCCCAGGCTGTGCAGACTGTAAGGTTGTGTGCAAGAATGTGTTTATGTGCAGGAGTGTGGAATGGGGGAAGGGATGGCCATGGCAGACCACCTTCCCAGAGAAGTATTTCTCTACAGCATAGCATGTGCTTTAGCAAAACTGTGTCTGGAAGGAGCAATCAGGAGATGCCTTTCCAGAAAATTCCACAGGTATCTGTTTACTTCTTGATCAGCTAAGCATGTGGGGTTTGAGTGGTTATGGCTGGTTTCCTGCCGGCTGAGTTCAGAGACATCCCTGCTACCCAGTTTTCTACTTTCTGGCCTCCTTCTCAGCAAGAGTCCTTGTTACTTCCCTGATGGGACAGGAACTGTAGAGTCCAGAAGTGACAGGGGCTGAGGCCTCATCTAACCCTCATTCTACCTACGAGGAAATGACCCAGGAATGAGGTAGGATTTCACATAAAGTCACCCAGGGCCTTAATATCACCAGACCTTCTATCTTGTGCCCTTTTCCTCCATTCTTAGGCCAGAGAGAGCTCTTGGGCACTGGCAACTTGTCTGACATTGTTGACTTGTCTCATTACTCATGACATAATGGACCCTCCAAAATACCTACTTCTACTGGGTTATGTGTACTGGCTCGCAGTCCACACCTGGGGGACCCTTCGATCTTCAGTGTCTCCATCAGCCTGGAGGTCTGTGTAGCTGGGGCCTCCTCTTCTGGTTGTCCTCTAATGACAGCCCTGCACACAGACCCCTTCCCAGGGCCTTGTTCTGCAGCAGATTGCAAAGAAGGACAAAGGTTTCCAGGACAACTGCTGTTTTGCTCTTCACACTGGGAACATCTGGGAACTTTGAGCAACTGACACCCAGAGGAAATGGTATAGACAGTAACTAGATGGCAAGGGATTAGGTACAAGATAACAGAAAGGCCCCACCCAGA